GTCTCCAAACTTGGAGACTTTTCGTGATGCTTAAGTTGATAACTATCATAATTTCTAGACTTAAAAAGATATATCACAATGAAGCTTAAAACTATTATTAAATATTCTCTACGAAATCTTCAACCTTGGAGAAATTTATCAGTGTCGACTAAACAACCAGCATTGTTTTCGTTCAATCTCCAACCCTGAAGAAATTTATAGTTTTCATTATACAACATTAATAAAATTTTACTAAGTCTCCAAATTTGGAAAAGTTCTATATTTCTTAAGTTTGTAAAATTATCAATTCTTTACTAAATCTATATCCTTGGAAATGAAGGAGCGAATTTCGAGATGATAACAAATTATTCTCTAATAAATCTCCCATTTTGGAGACCCTAAGAAATTCAAGTTAATTTCTACCAACACTATCCGTTAAATAACTAATCTCAGAAACCTTAATGATTTTCAGATGACTTACATCAACTCTCCACTAAAGCTAAAACCCAAGAGAAATTTATGATTCGCAATTGATAACAACAATAATACATTAAGTCTCCAGATTTAGATAAACAAAATTTTTCTAATACATATTATTATTTTAATAAAATCTTTAACAAATCTCTAACATTAGAGACTTTGTCGAATTTCAGTGTTATAGCAAATCATTCTCAAAATAAATCTCCAATATGGGTTTAATTCTTGAGACGAGTACTAGCATATCAGGTCGATAACTAACAGCATTATCTGCCAAATTTTCACGCGAATCCCGACATTATATCAAACAATTCTCCAATTACTCTCCAATTTTGGAGACTTAAACTAATCTGAAGTTGATTCCAAGCACTTTTCTCCACTAAAATTTCAATTACATACAGCGGACCTTAATGAATCGCCTGTAAAATCGCCCCATGTAAACACCATATTAGAAAAACCTTAGAGCTTTGAGAAATTCACAAACGTTTTCTCTACGCTAAATGTTTATTGGGTAGCAGCAAAACAAGAAAAAAATCACTCCAAAATAGAAAGGAAAACAGAAGAATGATATAAATTGAAAAGACACTAAGAAAAATCTAACAAACAGTTGTGCGCGATGGGTGATCCAAGCAGCTTGGGTTTCAATGCAGAAAAATTAAGTGGAAAAGTGACCGGACAACGAGAAATAAGTGTCCGGATGAAATGAAAACTGTTCACTTACCGCTAAGTCCAGCAGCCCCAATATACAAAAAAAAAAAAAAATGTCAAGTTAAGAGCTAAGCGATAGCAGCAGTTTGACCTCAGCTGGCAACCGCAGGCAGCGTACCGTTACATGCGCAGCTCTGCACTTTACTTTTTCATTCGCTTTCACACTTTCTCACTTCCTTCATCTTTGCAACCTCACCGTTCATCACTTGAGCGAAATTGAAGTTGTGTGAAAATTTAATAAGGACTAAATGTGGTTACAAAAAAAAAAAAAATACGAATGTATGTATGTATGTGTGTGTGTCAGCCAGCTTTGAGTAGGGTGCAACCTGCAATTGGGTGTTGACCTCCAGTCGCAAGGTCCGCTTGACCGTCGCCGCGTTGCGCTTACCTTAGAGTCAAGCTGGAATGAACGGACAGGACTTTGCTTGTAATGCGATTCATTTTGCAATGATTTCGTGATTTTCTGACACTTTGTGGATGTCGCAAGTGCAACAATGGATTGTTGGTGAGTGAAGAAGAAAAGTGTAAAGCGTCATTGTCGCCTGTCGCTAACGTTGGATAACTACCGGTTACAAGGCAAACGCTTTCCTAGTGCCGGAGTGCTTTAGTTTGCAAAGAAAACTTAGAAAATCAACAGTTGAATTGACTCTGTCAGTGAACCTGCTATCAGCACTAAAGCCAAGTTAAGAAAGAAAAGGAAAATATAGAAGCTGTTTTTTGTGTAAAAATGTCAGCAGCTATAAAAAGTAGTGAGTGAATATTGGTGCAGCATTAAGTAGGGATCGACCGCATACACCACAAGGGTATGTACATATGTATATATATATGTATGAAGGTGTGTATTTGAAATTGGAACTGAGGTAAACATATTGACTTTGTAACGATTGCAGCAGATGTGCTTCGGAAAGCTTGCACTTTTAAATTAGTTTGTAGAAAATATTCATTTCGATCTTACAATATTATGATTGTGTTGTGTCTTTACAGAGATTTCTGCAAATAACTTTTCTAAGTGAGCAAGTTGACGGAGTAATTTGGATATGCAATTGCTGTAGCCACTAGTTATTAGGGCGGAAGTATCTACTCAAAAGTACTAAACTTTCAGAAATATAATCTGCGTTACTTAAGAACTTCTGCATTCTAGACATATGTGTATATATGTATGTACTAGTCTAGTGATCATGTGAACAGTTGAAATCTTCGAATTTAAGCACCAAAATGTGGTGTTCAGTGGGTAAGTACTACATATTTTTGAAACCTTTTCCGAATAATGGTATTATAACTTTGATATTTGTAAATAATTCTTAATGTGCACATACTCATTATTGTGTTCACTTACAGTTTTGTTACAGCAGCATCACTTTTGCCGATTATTCGATTTTTAGCTCTGATTGTCCAAACGCAATTCTTGATAGATTTAAAATATTTCAAGGGTTGTGACTGGACATCGTGGCTCGAAATGAGAATTCTTCAATACCAGCGACGGATAATGACGATTCTAGGACAAAGAAAGTGCAGAAATTTAAGTTCAGTTAAAATTTATATGAATACTGGAAGTGGAAATCAAGATCTTAGGATACTTAAGCTTCTATGTATGTACCAAATTTTTAAACTTACAATCGAAGATAGAAATAAATCATCGGCAAAAAATGTGATTAATTTGAGAAACAAGGTTTCACTATGGTGAGTCTGTGATATTTTTTTATTAAATTTAAGGTCGAGCAGAGACCGTACAGTTACAACTTTTATTAAAAAAATCGCTCTTTAATAATAATTTTTTGACTTTTATTTAGGTACTCCTTAAATTACAGTTATTTCTAATTTTTATATTATAATTCCAAAATAAAAATTATTTTTGATTTTTATCTAGATCATCTGTAAATGACAGTCATTTTTGATCTTTAAAAGATATGTCTATGGCTCGGAATCTCAAGCACTAAAAAATCGAAAATATTCGCATATAATATGCACTCAAAAGACTTTAAAAATAATAATCGATTTAACTGATTTATATTGATGACTTTTATAAATAAAAGTTTTCAATAACTGTTATCTAAGACACATAGTATATAAATAAAAAAATAACTGTTATTTGCAGATTATTTATATACAAATCAAAAATTATTGTTACTTTGGATTTATAAAACAAAAATCGAAAATAATTGTAATTTTTTTTAAATTTTGCACAAAAATTACAAATAAAAATTTATTTTGAAATTTGATTCTCGGTAAAAAAAAAATAAATCGATTGGTATGTATCAATTAGTTGTATAACATTTCATTCATAGTGAATTTTTCTCAAAGGACATAAATAAATAAAAATGTGATTCGTGGGTTTCCTAATCCATTTTCCCAAGATATTTTCATTTTTATTGCAAAACAAATTGCGAATAGCGAAATGAGAATGTTCCATTATTGTTTGTATGAAATGGGTTTAGGAAATAATGTTACTCATACGCCATATCGTACATGTCGTACTCATACATGGCCAATGAATAACAAATTCGCTGTTAAATTACGTTTTTTTTTTTTTGTTCTACAATTTATATTGAGCTCGAGGCCGTTTTAAATGAAATTTTTTTTTTTTTTTAATTCGGAATGCAAACATAAGATGAAATTTCCATTTCCTCAAGTAACTTGTAACTTTAAAGCTTACCTTATATTTAAAGGTTGCATTAAAATTTATGATTGTGCTTAAGTAAATCATTTTATTATCGTTTTTAAATTGATTTACAACCAAGAAACATACATATGTCAAAAACCGATATTAGAAATGCTAGACTTTAGACATAGCTTTATTTTCAAACCAACCCTTAAATATAAAGTGAGCTTTAGAGTTAGTGGTTACTTCAGAGAACGGCCCGTAGTGGAGAAGGCAAATAAAATGTGTATGGTCTGAAGAACCATGTGTGGGACGACCCGTCATGTTCGGCAAAGCTTTGGCAATAAAATATCCGACGCACTCATGCGATTAGAGCTTCCTCTACTTAGGCATTCATGAATTCTCTTACGCTTTATTAACACATCCAACTGGTTATACTACCAAGCGAACTGACAGGATCGAATTAAATAGAGAAAAAAACTAACAAAATTCTTTCGAATGGCACTCGGCCAACGGCGACTGTTAGAGCAGCGCGAGCGTGCCATGTTTTCAAAGCACATTTTTCGTGAAATTTTTGTTACTCTCTCGTACCGAATTACCAAATCATCTCAAGTCACAAAAATAGTCGCTAATTGATAGTCTCAAATTTAGTGACATTTATCCAGTTAACTTTACACTTACAATTCGTAATTTAAGTCATTTCATTAATACCAGATTTTCAGCTGTTATTTACACATTTTTATTGCTCATTAAACTCACTAAGCTGTCATACCATAAACGGTAATCACTCATTAACCACATTGCAAAGTGCAAAAATCACATACAATTCGTTAAAGAGGAAATACAGAATAAACCAGTAAATGATGTTGTCAATCATTGTGGCCTGTTATATGGCAAAAATCTCTCTAAAATGATATGAAATGTTACTTTAAAAGCTACTTTTTAATAGAAACATTAGGCCAGTGAGTGCAAGAAGTAAGTAGTTGGAGTGCCTTGCATAGATTAAGAAGAGGTATGCTGCAGGGTGTTCGAAAACGGGCGCCTGAACTTTTGAAACATACACAAGAAAAATAATTCGTGGTATAAATCGAGATTATTTAGAAGATACTTTGACTGGTTTTTATAAAGGATGTAGAACTCAGAGGTATGGAACTTTACACTGAATTACATAATTATATGTAATCTGAAAATTGGCTTTATTAGAAAGTCACATACATATGTTTGTAGTGCCTCAAAATCACGGGCAAGTGGCCGCTGCAGATAGCGCATTCTGCAAGTCGAATTTTCGACCACTTTTACCAGCAGTGTATTGCGCCAGTGGTCCGCCCAGTGTTGTCTTCCAAGGATGCCACAGATTCTGGTATGTTAGCATAAACTAATGACTTCGCGTAAGTTTAACGCAAATAGTCTATAGTGTTAAATCACGGCATATCGGTGGCCAATACGCGCAGTATGACATGTGGCGCCATCCTGTTGGAAAAACATGCCTTCAGTCAACATTCCGTTCAATTAGGCGCTTGTCCTTGATAGTAGCGTCTTCATCAGCGTTGCCGCTTTGGTAATTTTCAACCAAAATTGGTATTTTTTTCTTTATTTGTAAAATTTTGTAATTTGTTTTTCAATTTGGTAACTTTTTCTATTCGGTCCTACATGTCACATAGGTGAATACAAAATCGGTGGCGGATTTACCGTAAAGGCAACATAAGCAGGTGCCTAAGGCGGCATAATTTAGGGGCGTCAAAATTTGAGTTGAAAAAAAATTTGAGTTGAAAAAAAATTTGAGTTGAAAAAGAATTTCTAATGCAATAGGAATAAATTCAGGCGTGGCCATCGCTGAACAATCAAACACATTCTACTCTCAAATGTGTAGTCATCTTAATGACAAAACGGCATTCTCTCATCGGTCAAGCCAATCCGTTGCATGTGAGAGCTTCGATGGTAATAAGCTTTCGTTATTCTATGAGCAACCTGATAACGAAAACATAGCCAAAGAGCTTGACCTATGTAAGGCCCTCTAGCATTCCAGAACATACTGTGTTGCAAAAAAAAAAGTTGAAAGCCGGATTGATAAATCGCTGCACCGGATCTGTGCTTGATTACTTTATATAATAATATATAATAAAATTCTGGGATAAAAAAATAACTTTGAAATTGCATTCTTGTCTTTTAGGGGTCCTATAATATTTCGGCCGCTGTGGTGTAGTGTTAAGCAGTGTGCGCTTCCATTCCACAGCAGCTGGGTTCAAACCCTGGTCAAAGCAACATCGCAAAAAAAATATAGAAAAAAGGTCTTTTCTTAACAGCGGTCGTCCCTCGGCAGGCAATGGCAAACCTCGGAGAGTATTTCTGCCATGAAAAACAGCTTCTCATAAAAATACAATCGCCGTTCGGAGTCAGCGTAAAACTGTAGGTCCCTCCGCTTAGTGTGACAACATCAAGGCACACGCCACAAATCGGAGGAGAAGCTCGACCAAACACTAACATATGTGTAAGCGCCAATCTATTATTATTATTATTATAATATTTCAAGGCTCCTTCGAAATTATTTCCTGTAGGCGAGAGGCCTCGGACATTGGTGTGTTCATTATTTTATTTGGGAGCATCTTATCAGTTTATTGTAGTTACCAGTCTCTCTTTTTTCCTGTTGAAAAGTTTCCTGACAAGATAACGCTTTACGTTCAGTTCCCAGATCCTGTCTGAATTACTATTTCTTCGTACCAAATTACGAAAATAACACCTTTACTGAAGCACCCTTTACATAACTGCTCGACATTTTACTGACCATGTTGTTCAACCTAACTTTACAGCTTTCTAGTTGACAGTGTTTTCAGGCTTTCGTCAGCTTCAGTTTTCATTTTAAGCTGCTATTTTATTACGACTGTTGCATTGATCTTCCTCTTAAAGCCATTGCATATTTTAAGACTATAAAAGCATTTGGGATATGAAGTACTTCAAAAGAGGATCCTTGACAGATAAAAGAGACAGCAAATTTTATGACACCATACAAGTCACGCTCTATGACAGTGTCGTATTTGGTTCATTTGTAGAAAACTCTACCAACTTCATGTTGGTCAGCAGTAAAAATTCGGTGTATTACTAATTTTTTTCTTTTTCCATCATGAAGCAGCAATGACTTAACCACAAGCATTCGTGTGAATACTCACCTCCCTATGAAAGAGGAAAATATCTGAGGGAAATAAAAAAAACCTAAGCTTTACATGCTTCACTTTTTTATGCTTTTCTGTGATTTCTGAACTGTGTTTTTTTTGATTTTTTTCACTTCCGACCATTCGTTTTTCAACATGATTTTCACTTTGCTTGTTCCCTTTATCCTGGTATGTATTTATTTCACTTGGCCATTGAAGTGCATATATTCTATGGAAAGCATTTGAAATCGCATACTCTCTTAACAAAATGGAAAACGTTACACAGGTTTTATGGCAATTTCGTGTTGTCGAATATGGATTGCTCACTTTCATCGTCAAACAAAGTCAAGTGCATTCGCACATATAAAAGTACTCTGTTTTTTTTTTGAGAGTTTTGTACTCTTTTTTTAACGCAAGTAAGTTAGCCATTTTCGCTACATTTTATGTCATAACACACTCCAATTTTCAATGAGAGCACACATGTATCTTCAAAAATGCATAAAAAAGTCGTGAAACGTACGCAATACAAGAAAAAGTGACAAGAAACCATGTTCAACGTGGCTATGTTATACATATATGTATGTATTTAGATGCTATTCGGATACCAAGCTGTCACCGGATAAATATGTACATATGTATATCGGGTGTTCCATACCAAAACGGACGTGGTTCACACTTCATGTGTTTTATTTGTTTCAAATTTTTAGGGTTGATGCATAAACATAAATGACAAATAAATATGAAATTTGAGCTTGATTAATACATTTTTTAAAAACTTTACAGCACTAAAACAAAAACAAATCGATTTAATAGTTTTCCAAACAGCTCGAGAACGGGGCGAGGAAAAAAATTGAAAAAAATCACACATACACACATAAAAATTCTCTATGAAAAGAAATAATTGAAAATTTTTTTTCTTGAAACATTTTTCACATACAAATTTTTTGATAAAACAAAAAATTTTTGGAAAATATGTCAAAAAAAAATATGAAAAAAATCACAAAGGTAGCTCTGAGTATTACGCGATATTTAAGCATAGTATAATGGGGTGCACTCTACAATAATTTGGGTTATGAATTTTTTTACGCCGAAGTTGAATAAAATGAGTACATTACAAAATTAAAAATTTTTTTAATTTTTTTTTAGAATTTCTTTGAGTATGCAGTTTTGTAGCTTTTAGTGCAAGTTTTAACCGATTGCAAAACCGGCGATAATTATTATTATTTTTTTGATTATCTTTGAAAACGGTTTTGATCATTTTCTTCCATAAGAAACAAGTGCAAAAAGCCGTCAGCATAAAAAATATTAAAAAATCAACGCAATCTTGCAGTAGCTTAAAACTTGAACTTTATTATACTAAAAGTTAAAATTAATTAATTAATAAGTCAAATAAAATATTAAAACAATATGGATATCAAACTAAAGGGGTTCCAAAGTCTTTATTTGGAAAAAAGTTTTTAAGGGGGTTGCCAGCTGTTAAAAATATTATAGTCATTTAATTCATAAACAAATAAATGAAAGCATCACAACCTTATGGCCATCAGACGAAAGGGGTTCAAAAATGATTTATTTCAAAGTATGCTTTCATAGGGTTGCCACACGTTCAAAAAGTTAAAATCAATATAAATAACAAGTTAAACAAAAAATTTACGTAATTATGCGTATAAATCCAGAGAGGTTTCATTAAGGTTTATTCCAAAATCATTTTTAAAAGGGGCTGCCACCTATTTCGAAATTCGTAATCACTTTAAATAACATGTTAAATAAAATATTTTAATATGGGTATTGAACGAGAGAGATTTAAGAAAGCTTTAAGTCTAAAAGATTTCCGAAGCGCGTTGCCACCTGTTGGGGAATACAGAATAAATTTAATAAGAGGGCAGCTATCTGCTTTAAAATTTAAAATCAATTTAAACGCTTCAAAATTTAGACAAAACATTTAAAAATTGCTATCATGCCAGAGAGGTTTTAAGAAAACTGTACTTATTTTGAAAATATTTTTTACGAATATTGCTTAATTGGAATTTGAGATCAGTTTAATTGAGAAGTTAAATAAAATCACACTAAGATTACAATTGTGAAGAGATAGTCTTCTTCTTCTTATTTGGCGCTGTAACCGCCTAAGCGATTTTTAGCCGAAATAGCCTACGAACTGGAATTATGTATAGCATATTTTGCAGCGCAGTTGCCACCTGCTTAAAATTATATTTCTAGCTATAGGTTCAACGAAATTTCACAATATGGATTATGGATTTTGAATATGAACGAAATTTGAAAATGCAATTTAAAAATTTCAATTCAATTGTTTTATCTATTAAGTTTAATGAAGTATTACAATAAGGGCCGCCATACGAAACAAAAAGTGCTGGTATATGCTTTTATTCAGACACAAGCGATTTTCATAAAAAGTCTTTTCTGATGTTAGAACTTGTCTGAAACTTAACGGTCATCACTGATACTATTATTAACTTTACAAGAGAGTAGTAAATTCTTCAAACAAGCGATGTACAGGTCAGCATTTAACTCAGTGATGACATCCAAATTTCGAATAAGTCCCCAAAAAAGCGAAAATATCACGATTAGCATCGAAAAGCCTCGAAAAGTCCATAATTTAACACGAAAAGTCACAAAAAATACCGAGAAAATAACAATGAGTACCGAAAAAACACGAAAAAATTCGAAAAGATTCCAAAAATCCAAATATATTCCGATAAAATATTAAAAATTGCAAAATAGCCACAAAAAAAACATGAAAAGGAACAGATAAAAAAGCTAAGAGTTTTCCGAAGTGACCCAAAGAAATAAGAAAAAGTCTCGAAAAAGAACGAAAAAAGTTCAAAAAGTCCACCAAAAAGTACCGAAAATATTCGACAAATATTAATACTTCCCGATGAGTCCTGAAAAAAAAACATCCGAAAGAACCCAAAATAAGCCCGGTAAAACTCCAAAAGAAAAAACGAAATATCCGAAATGCCGTAAAACTAGCTGAAAGTCGCGAAGTGAATCCCGAGAAAAGTGTCGAGAAATCTCGAAATGTCCTGAAAAATATTGGAAAGTTCCCAAAAAAAACCAGCACAAATCTCGAATGAATTCCGAGAAAAGTGTCGAAAAATCCCGAAGGCAATGAAAAATATCGAAAAGTCGAAAAAATTCCACGCAAATGTCCAATACGTCCCCAGAAAAGTTTCGAAAAATTCCGAATCCCTTTATT